GTTATTACCCTATCCGATAATAATCCAATGCAGAGGAAATAATGTAATATAATATATTATTTTATATATATAAAATATTTATATATGTATTTTTATATAGTCTTAAAGTTACAGCCGGCCCTTTGAGTGCAACCATAATGCTGATATTTTCTACTTTCTTGTTTATTTCTAGTCCTATAATTGTTATTGTACAATGCCATGTCTTTTTATGCTGCTGCAACACAAAAATGTCCCAAATTGAGATCAATAAAGTACTTCTGATCTTATCTCTTTCTCTTTCTAGTTATTGTGCTTTTAATCAGGTTTTTAATTATTGTTTTACTCCCATCGAGTTATTTTATATTGTATGTATTCCCTGTACAGCACTTTGGTCAACTGAGGTGGTTTTAAATGTGCTATATAAATAAATAAATAAATAAAGATTGAGATTTCGCAGCCATCAGACATTAGAATATGCTTCCAGCTGAGCGTCATTAGTGTGACGCTAGCTTCTGCTCGTCCCTGCAGCACTCTTGTGTATAAGCTGAAAAGACGCTTACTGAAAAGCATCAGGCGTTGACATGTCCTCGACTTTTGTCTCGTGTGTAGCTGACTCACCGTGTCCCACTTGGCGTTCATCTTCTCCTTCTCGAACTTGGCGAACTCTCGGCGGTCGTGGATGATCATGAGCAGCTTCCAGATGAGCAGCAGGGCGAGGCCGATCAGCACGATGCCCGCCACTACGCCGGCCACGATGGGGATGATGTCAGGGCCGGCAGGGCACTCTGAGGGGGGGGGGGGGGGATTGAGAGAAACAACATGAAGTCCAAAGCTAACATTCTGATATGAATTGTCTTAAAAAGGTCCCCTATTACACTAAATCATTTTAAACTCTATTTGTTTGGTAGCAGTTCTCTTCATTGCCTTTTGATGGTGAACCATGAGCAGGATTGTTACCCACAATACAAACTACTACAGAGAAGATAGCTTGTAGAATAACTATGCAACCAAACAGCATCATCAACATTCATCCGTTTGCAACTTATATATATCAATATTCCAATTACTTGTACATTGACTATTCTGCACTATATTCTATTGTATCTGTTATATTGTGTTGCACTGTTGGAGGAGCCTGTGACCTCAGATTTCCATTGTCATATCTACACTGTAGCTATGACAATGGAAATAAAAGCCTTGAATGCAGCAGTCTAATCGTACCCAGCGTCTCCACCACGTAGACCTCCTTGGTGTCGTTCCTGATGGCGTAGGTGTAGTAGAACCAGCAGTCGTTGGCGTCGCGCTCCTTGCAGTGGGTCAGGGGGAAGCTCTGGTCGGTGGGCTGGGGATCTTCTCGCGGGTCCTTCACTTGATCAGCTGGAAGTAGCTGCAGTCGCGCTCACACGTGTCCTTCTTCTCTCCGGCCTCGAAACGCTCGGCACTGCACGCAGTCTCTGAGAAGACGAGGAAGAAGGGTTCATTACGTCTGTGTGTTTTATCTATTCATTAGTCCCTGTTCACTATGGCCTGACCCCTAACCCATCACAGTCCCCCTGCTCTCCACTCCTACTGCTATTTATTTTCCTTACTTTATTATTATTTGTCCCTTTTGTTTGTTTGTTCACCATGTAAAGCGGTCTTTGGTCCCTTGAAAGGCGTTATACAAATCTAATCTATTATTATTATTACACATTGGTAGAGAGAAACATCTTGAGAAAGTGAACTACATGAAGATGAAGAAAAGGCAGACATGTAGCCTATTATTTAGAGACTCTCTCAGGCCATGATACCAGAAATTAAAAACATTACATGTTTGTATTTCCTTATAATGTATTCAACTATATTCCCTGCAAATGTAATGTCCAAACATTAAGGCATCCATTCTGTTTCAAAGAATGTTCACACAAAGTAATTAAATGTTACTGTCACCCATCTGTAACTTACCCCAAATCTATATTTACAAATACTATATTTTTACATTACGCAGAGCCCTATCTCTGGAACCCATTGGTCAAATTGGGTGATTGACACCTCTTTGTAACCGTTAGAGCCAATAGAATCGAGGGGCAGTTCATAAATCCATGTAAACATTACCATTGGTCAGTTCAAATGACGTTGACACAGCATGCTCTAAAGCAGACGCCCCAGCCTGCTCAACAATATACGCTGTTTATTGCCGATAAATGTAATGATGGATTATAAGTAATCATTTCAAAGTGACACGGAGACATTGGATTAACCTTCAGCAGCGTTTTTATGCCCTTGAACACAACTTTTGATCACAAAACAGCAAAGCTAAGACATATTTATAGTTATGGCTCTGTAAAGTGAAGTTGTGTGTTGCTCTTTCCTGGCTGCCAGTTAAAATCCTCAGACTTTTTAAGTAGAATCTTTAGCACAATTTACGAGTTTCTGTCTGGAATAAAACCTCTAAACATACATGTTATTTCATAATCTGTGACCAGTGGGAATACTATATTTTAAGATGTCACAATTTCCAGCTAAGCCTCACAGCTCCAGACTCACTTGTGCTCGGCGCAGACCCCGGGGCAGGTGGGGCAGATCTCGCAGGTAGGACCCTGGAACTTGGGGTTGGTGCATTTGCAGATTCCACACTCGCACGTGCCGCGGCCGTTACAGATCTGCCCGTTCTTGGCGAGGCAGGATGCCGTCTCCAGCGAGCAGTCGCAGGCGCTGCCGGTGTAGTTGGCATCACAGATGCACTTCCTGCACTCACAGCGGCCGTGTCCTGGGGAAGTAAGTAAGCAACATTTATTTATAAAGCGCTTTTCCCAGACATAGTCACAAAGTGCTTGACAAAGCATTAAAACATCATACGAATCATAAAAGATTAAATGATATATATATTATAAGCAATCTGAGCCTCCTGTTAAGGAATGAGCTGCCAACACAATAAATGAAACCGTACGGAGAGCTGTGTGTTTTTTTCATCAATATTAACCATCATTTACCATTTGATTGATTTTTCTAACTTATAACTTATGAGGCAATACACCTCTAGTGAGCGACCCTATGTGTGGCCCTCTGTGAAAAAAGTTTGGATATCCCTGATCTACATAAACCAAAATTGCATAGGATCTTATCGACTTCGCTCCGAGGACTTGTTTCTTCCAACTGTTCCAAAAGTCCGTACTGAACTGGGGAAGAGGTTCAGTCACGCTGCTCCTGTGGTGTGGAACCAGCTGCAAACTGAGCTGAAACTCAGAGAGCTGCTTTCTTTAAACAAACTCAAAGCCTCTCTAATGGCGCATTTCCACTGCAGGGCCTCGCACGGCTTTAGTACGGTATAGTTAGGCCTTGGTAGGCCAGGCTCACTTTATACAATTTAGGAACTGGGGCAGTAACTATGGTAACGCAGTGTAGGCGGAGCCGTGACGTCATCTTCAATGCGAAACACAGAAAATCAACATCAGCCGTTAGCTGTTAGCACTCAAGCTCACAGCTCCTCATATATGTTCAGAAACTAGACAAAAGTTAAACAAGTACAAACCACAGACTGTCTGTGTCATGGCGAATACAGTCGCTGGTTTATTTATGTCTGTATAGGCCGTTGTTGTGAGTGTGGACGGTCGGAGCATATACTGCGTTAGCTTAGCCAATCTCCATTCAGAAAACACGCATTTTAAAAGGTTTTTCGCCTGCCGTCTGTCTGCAGACTTGACAAAGCATTAATTCATGGTTTTTACTAACCGGTATCAGTATGTTGTTACTTCGGCATCATTTTGAAACGTGTATTACAATTAAATCACGGTAAAATGTGTTCATTTTGTTGTAGTTGTAGCCCCCTTGCCAGCGATTCTCTCACTAGTTTAGCATATTCAGCCCGGAAAGAACCTGGATTTTGGAGAGCCAGAAAAACTGTACCCGTTAGCCGGAACTACCAGGCCTCTCTTGGAAAAGAGTTTTTTAATCTCAATGAGACCTATCCTTCAAAAGCAAACTGAAAACCCATCTCTTTGCATCGGTCTTCCATAACCTAGCTTCCATCAACATTACCATCACTTCAGTCACATGCTTTTATCACATGGCAATACTTATGTTGTGTAATGTTTTTATAATTGTTATGCTATGACGTTTGTATTTGCTTTTGTTTGCTTTGTACAGCCCTTTGAGGCACTTCTTGTGATGTGGGGCTATAATACATTTTGATTTGATTTGATTTGATAATTCTGATTAAATAAAAGGTAACATAAAATAAAGAGTTTACAGTGATAACGGTTTCAGTTTCAATAACTCTATTTCTACAAGCCTCACCTCCGCAGAGCTTGTTGTTGGAGCGGTCGCAGTTGAAGTTGTCACACTCGCAGTACTTCCCGCTGTAGATCTCTGCAGGGTTCTCTCGCTTCTTGCATTCGCATGTGCCGCAGACACAGTCTCCGTTGTTGCTGCAGATGTCCGTACCGTTGTCCTTTCGACAGTTCGCATCCAGGTCCTCTGTCCGCACCTCGTCTTTGCTGCACTCGCAGAGACGCCCGATACGTCCGTCATTACACCTGACACAGGAGAACAGAGCTCAATCAGAAGAGGAACAAGTACTCAGATCTTTCATTTCAGTAAAAGTAAAAGAACCACGGAGAATAAATAGTTTGTTACGTGTAACAAGTTTGCAGTTCAAAATTATATTTATGTGAAACCTCAAGCAGCAAAATATAGTAACTGTAAAGTACCAAAACTAAAAGTACTCATTACGCAAAATGTCAATTTATGGAATAATATACATAATATCAGAGGATCTTTGCAGCTTGTTAAGGTGAAGTGTCCTTTAACAATGTTTGCCATGCTCGTTTCTTAGTCCACAATAGCATGTCATAATCATTTGTCAAATATTTATTCTAATTAATAACATGAACCTGTAGAGCAGGGCTATTCAATTAGTTTGGAATGGGGCCGGTTGATGAAAATGATCCAAAGCAAGGGGCCGGGAAAAAGATGGCTTGAAATATGAGCAATCATATTAAGAGCTTCAGATACAGTAAATACTACAAAAGCATAGTGGAGTGCATATATTGTGTTTAATTAAATCAAACAACATAGCCCCAAGGCCTTTATAGATCTGAATGGCAAGTTCAGAACTCAGTAGGCCTCCATGCTAATTTAACCATCAACATCATTTAATTTGATTTAATTTAGGTGAAATGATCTAATCATTCACGCAGAGATGCAATAAATGACAGGAGTTGTCACTACAGTAACTAGTAGGTGAGTTGTCACTACAGTAGCTAGTAGGTGAGTTGTCACTACAGTAGCTAGTAGGTGAGTTGTCACTACAGTAACTAGTAGGTGAGTTGTCACTACAGTAACTAGTAGGTGAGTTGTCACTACAGTAGCTAGTAGGTGAGTTGTCACTACAGTAACTAGTAGGTGAGTTGTCACTACAGTAGCTAGTAGGTGAGTTGTCACTACAGTAACTAGTAGGTGAGTTGTCACTACAGTAACTAGTAGGTGAGTTGTCACTACAGTAACTAGTAGGTGGTTTGTCACTACAGTAGCTAGTAGGTGAGTTGTCACTACAGTAGCTAGTAGGTGAGTTGTCACTACAGTAACTAGTAGGTGAGTTGTCACTACAGTAACTAGTAGGTGAGTTGTCACTACAGTAGCTAGTAGGTGGTTTGTCACTACAGTAACTAGTAGGTGAGTTGTCACTACAGTAGCTAGTAGGTGAGTTGTCACTACAGTAGCTAGTAGGTGAGTTGTCACTACAGTAACTAGTAGGTGAGTTGTCACTACAGTAACTAGTAGGTGAGTTGTCACTACAGTAACTAGTAGGTGGTTTGTCACTACAGTAACTAGTAGGTGAGTTGTCACTACAGTAGCTAGTAGGTGGTTTGTCACTACAGTAGCTAGTAGGTGAGTTGTCACTACAGTAACTAGTAGGTGAGTTGTCACTACAGTAGCTAGTAGGTGGTTTGTCACTACAGTAGCTAGTAGGTGAGTTGTCACTACAGTAGCTAGTAGGTGGTTTGTCACTACAGTAGCTAGTAGGTGAGTTGTCACTACAGTAGCTAGTAGGTGAGTTGTCACTACAGTAACTAGTAGGTGAGTTGTCACTACAGTAGCTAGTAGGTGGTTTGTCACTACAGTAGCTAGTAGGTGAGTTGTCACTACAGTAGCTAGTAGGTGAGTTGTCACTACAGTAACTAGTAGGTGAGTTGTCACTACAGTAACTAGTAGGTGAGTTGTCACTACAGTAACTAGTAGGTGGTTTGTCACTACAGTAGCTAGTAGGTGAGTTGTCACTACAGTAGCTAGTAGGTGGTTTGTCACTACAGTAACTAGTAGGTGGTTTGTCACTACAGTAGCTAGTAGGTGAGTTGTCACTACAGTAGCTAGTAGGTGAGTTGTCACTACAGTAGCTAGTAGGTGGTTTGTCACTACAGTAGCTAGTAGGTGAGTTGTCACTACAGTAGCTAGTAGGCGAGTTGTCACTACAGTAGCTAGTAGGTGAGTTGTCACTACAGTAGCTAGTAGGTGGTTTGTCACTACAGTAGCTAGTAGGTGGTTTGTCACTACAGTAGCTAGTAGGTGAGTTGTCACTACAGTAGCTAGTAGGTGAGTTGTCACTACAGTAACTAGTAGGTGGTTTGTCACTACAGTAACTAGTAGGTGGTTTGTCACTACAGTAGCTAGTAGGTGAGTTGTCACTACAGTAGCTAGTAGGTGAGTTGTCACTACAGTAGCTAGTAGGTGAGTTGTCACTACAGTAGCTAGTAGGTGAGTTGTCACTACAGTAGCTAGTAGGTGAGTTGTCACTACAGTAGCTAGTAGGTGAGTTGTCACTACAGTAGCTAGTAGGTGAGTTGTCACTACAGTAACTAGTAGGTGAGTTGTCACTACAGTAGCTAGTAGGTGGTTTGTCACTACAGTAACTAGTAGGTGGTTTGTCACTACAGTAGCTAGTAGGTGGTTGTCACTACAGTAGCTAGTAGGTGAGTTGTCACTACAGTAGCTAGTAGGTGAGTTGTCACTACAGTAGCTAGTAGGTGAGTTGTCACTACAGTAGCTAGTAGGTGAGTTGTCACTACAGTAGCTAGTAGGTGAGTTGTCACTACAGTAGCTAGTAGGTGAGTTGTCACTACAGTAGCTAGTAGGTGAGTTGTCACTACAGTAGCTAGTAGGTAGTTTGTCACTACAGTAGCTAGTAGGTGGTTTGTCACTACAGTAGCTAGTAGGTGGTTTGTCACTACAGTAGCTAGTAGGTGGTTTGTCACTACAGTAGCTAGTAGGTGGTTTGTCACTACAGTAGCTAGTAGGTGAGTTGTCACTACAGTAGCTAGTAGGTGGTTTGTCACTACTGTAGCTAGTAGGTGGGTTCGAAACCCGAGCCCGCCGAAGTGTTCAGGCAATGTCTTCCCCTCTATCTCTCAATTTAACACCCTTTCTGGAATAAAGGCACTCGGGCCGCCAATTGAATAGCCCTGCTGTAAAGTAACTACAGTTCATTTTGTTAGTAAAAAGTACAATATTTCCTTCAAGGTTGTAGTGGAGTAGAAGTATATATAAGAAATACCCTATCTGATACCCTATCTGATGCGCCGGTGAAGATGGCCGCATCGTCTTCGTGCTCCTCTCCAACTTTGCCCATTTTCGTATTTTGTACATATTTCTTTTACTTTTGCCGTTTTACTTTTAACATGGTTCGCAACATGCTAGCCGACCGCACCTACTCTGCCATACAATATAGCAGAGAGGAACTTTTCCAATTGCGAAACTTCGTGGACAATATTAACCCTCCGACAGACAATGGAGATTCACCATGGCTACCTGTTGCTGTTCTACCTGAGAGACGCAAGAAGAAGACAAAGCGGGGATGCCGGGCCGGGTTGCTGGTCAAACTGAGAAAACGTGAGAATCGGCCCCCCTCTTCCGAGTATTCTTCTGGCTAATGTTCAATCCATTGAAAATAAGCTAGATGAACTCAGAAGCCGGATTGCTTTTCAACGGGACATTAAGAACTGTAACGTGTTAATTCTCACTGAGACTTGGCTCAACCCCGCTATCCCGGACTCCGCTATTGTCCCTGACGGATTCTCTATTTTTCGTCAGGACCGGACTGCAAACTCGGGGAAAAGTAAGGGAGGCGGTGTGTGTGTAATGACTAACAACAACTGGTGCTCAGATGTGAAGATTATTTCATCGGACTGTTTCCGCACAGCTAGAGCACCTCATGATCTCATGTCGGGCCTTCCATCTGCCGAGGGAATTCACATCTGTTGTGATAACAGCAGTGTATATCCCGCCGCAGCCACTCGCCGACAACAACACGGCACTCGATCAGCTGTTTGGGTTTATTGATAAAACCGAGACTTCACGGCCAGATGCGGCGTTCGTTGTGGCCGGAGATTTCAACACCGCCAACATGAAGAGGTTTTGCCAAACTATTACCAACACATCAACTTCCCGACGCGCGGGGGGAAACATACTGGACCATGTTTATTCCCCTTTCCGGAATGGATATAAGGCTCTCCCTCGCCCTCCCTTCGGCAAATCAGACCATATCTCACTACTGTTGTTGCCTGCTTACAAGCAGAAACTTAAAAGGGACAGACCGATAACAAGGACAGTACAACGATGGAGCGAGGAGTCAGATTCAGCACTGCAGGATTGCTTTGCATCCACGGATTGGAGTGTGTTTGAGGACAATAACATCAACACACACACGGACACTGTCATCTGCTACATTGGGAAATGCATCGATGACGTGGGTACCGAAGGTTTCTGTACGGACATTCCCAAATCAAAAGCCTGGGTAAACGGTGAGGTGCGCGGCAAACTGAAAGCGCGCACTCTCGCGCACACAGCGGGAGCTTTGGAGGAGTACAGGAAGTCTAGGTATGATCTCCGGAGAGCAATAAAAAATGCAAAGAGACAGTACAAAGAGAAGGTGGAATCTGACTTCAAAGGCTGTAACACTAGGAATATGTGGGCGGGACTAAGGACAATGACTGACTACAAAGGAGCAGCGGGGGGGTGCTGCGGGAGTGTCTGCGTGCGCATCTCTCCCAGATGAGCTAAACAGTTTTTTTGCACGCTTTGAGAGCAGCCAGGCTGTGGAGGTACAGAGGGACCAGGAGCTACACTGCCCTTTTGTTTTAAATAGGGCAGATGTGTGTAAATCCTTTAAAAGGGTTAACCCACACAAGGCTCCTGGACCTGATGGCATCCCTGGCCGTGTTCTCAGGGTGTGTGCAGTTCAGCTGGCAGAGGTGTTCACAGACATCTTCAACAGGTCCCTGCTGCAGTCTGTAGTCCCCACATGTCTTAAACACTCCACCATCATTCCTGTCCCCAAAAAGACAATCATCACCTGCCCCAACGACTACCGCCCAGTAGCACTCACCTCCATCATAATGAAGTGCTTTGAGCGGTTAGTCAAATTATTCATCACCTCCTCCCTCCCTGAATCTCTGGACCCCCTGCAGTTTGCCTACAGAGCAAACAGGTCCACAGACGACGCCATAGCCCTCACCCTCCACACTGCCCTCTCACACCTGGACCCGAAGAAGAGGAACACATATGTGAGAATGCTGTTCATTGACTACAGTTCAGCATTCAACACCATTGTGCCCTCCAAGCTGGCCATCAAGCTCAGAGACCTCGGACTCAACAGCGCCCTCTGCGACTGGATCCTGAACTTCCTGACGGGCAGACCCCAGGCAGTGCGGGTGGGAAATATCACATCCTCCACCCTGATTCTCAACACCGGTGCCCCTCAAGGCTGCGTGCTCAGCCCTCTCCTCTACTCCCTGTTCACCCACGACTGCGTGGCCACACACAGCTCCAACACCATCGTGAAGTTTGCTGATGACACGACCGTCATCGGCCAGATCACAGACGATGACGAGACGGCATACAGAGAGGAGGTCGAAAACCTGACATCTTGGTGCCAGGAGAACAACCTCCATCTCAACATCAGCAAAACAAAGGAGCTGATTGTGGACTACAGGAAGCAGCAGGGAGAGGGACACGCCCCCCATCGCCATCAATGGGACTACGGTGGAGAGAGTCAAAAGCTTCAGGTTCCTTGGGGTCCACATCACTGAGGACCTGACATGGTCTCTTCACACCACCACCATCACTAAGAAAGCTCGACAGCGGCTCTTCTTCCTCCGCAGGTTGAGGAGGTTCAAAATGGATTCCAGGATACTCTGCAACTTCTACAGGTGCACGATAGAGTATCCTCACTGGCAGCATGACGGCCTGGTACGGCAGCTGCACCGACCTCGATCGTAAGGCTTTACAGAGGGTGGTGAAAACTGCACAGCACATCACCAGGACGGAGCTGCCATCCATGGAGGACCTTTACTCCCAGCGGCTCAGGAAGAAATCACTACGGATTATCAAAGACCCCCATCACCCCAGCCACAAACTGTTCTTTCTGTTGCCGTCTGGCAGACGTTACCGCAGCATCCTGGCAAGGACAAGAAGATTCGGAGACAGTTTCTTCCCGCGGGCAGTGAGACTGTTAAAAAATTGAACTGTTGAAACAACTTCAAACATTCAACTGCTACTCAGTAGTATGTATCTAATACCTAATATATATATATCATTCCAATAACTTGTATATAGACTCATACTGCACTATTCCACATCATAACTTTATTTCATTTTTATAACTATTATTATTTTTGTATTGCTCTTGCTCTTATTGTTATTATGTTATGTTATTATGTTGCATTGTTGGAGAAGCCTGTGACATAAGATTTTCAACTGCATAATTACTCTGTAGCTATGTCAGATTGACAATAAAGAACCTTGAACCTTGAACCTTACTATAGAAAACCTCAAAATGTACATAAGTACAGTACTTGATTAAATGTACTTTAGATACTTTCTACTTCTGGGGTTAACAATAGTCGTACATGATAAGCAGAGCATAATTTATCAAATACAAAAAAAAGCATGATAATGTGAGAATGAGAACCCTGGGCTCAACCTATAGGTTTGATCATTTGGGTGCGAAAACACACATCTACCTCATTATTGATCCACCATGTGCTATTAAAGCCCAGAATCCAACAGCTTTGATATAAAACACATCACAGCACCTGGTGTTTTCTAATAAGCAGCTCTCCTTTCTTAAAGAAGTACAGATGTGTTTGGAAACACTCTAAAATAAAGCAGCAGCGATCCAGTGAATGTTTTGTTTGAATACTGACTTGCAGGCTCCGCACTCGAAGGTCCCGTTGCCCTCGTAGCACTTGTCGCTGTCGGGCTCTCCTTCAGCGGCGCACTGACAGTCGCAGATGAAGTTCAGAACCACCTCCACCTCCTCGGTGAAGCCCAGCGGTTTGATTTTAATCACCTCAGGCTTTCCGTTCGATGGACACTTCTGGGACTCGATGGAAATCTTGAAAGACACCTGGAAGCCAGAGGAGAGTTTATAGAGTCATTATAACTATTAAAGGCTTTGAAGCTAATTGTCCCAGATTCCAGACATTACTCAGATCATTTGATGCTTTTCTCATTTATTGTTTCTTTTGAATTGAAGCATGTTTCCCCCCCCCTTTTTCTAAACTTAGAACAGCCAGTTCCCCCATGAGGAAGCACAAAGGACAATTGTTTAGCTTTAGACCCCAGACACAGAGAGATCTTACAGCCCTTGTGTTAGCAATGTTTTCCACACTCTGATATTTGGGATCCTCCATGAGTTAATATGTTTAAGAAGCTTAAAAATCAGGACTTTCGTAATATTAGATTTCTAAACCGATGTTCAAATGTAGGCAAGTGTATTCATTCTGTTTAAACCAGGTATTTCTGCACAGTTGCATACAAAGATTAGGCTAGGATTTTGTACAAGTTTTAAAAGAAAAATGTGGATAATGACATCATAAAATATGACCGACATAAAATCTTGAGTCTTAAATCTCATCGGCCGCTTTGAATGTAAAAGAAAATCAAATAGGGTACATCTAATATACACATTTTGCAGCCAAAGGATGGTCTGTACTCTGTACCTCGTCTCCGATGGAGATGTTGGAGCACTTCCTGCCGTTCTCCCCTGTTCCCTCCACACCGTTCTTGCAGATGGATTTGTACGTGATGGTAACTCCTTCTGGCAGACGGCCATTTTCCAGAATGACCTCAGACGACAAAGACTGCCAAAAAATACAATAAAAACAATCACTACAGGCTCCAGTGCAGACAAAATGTAGATCAATCAACTTGAGCCGACACGATTATTACATTTTCAAACCCAGCTTCTTATAGGCAGGAGATGTTACAATGCTTGGCCTCACTAACACATACAGTATGTGAAGGAGTGTCGTGGCTGAAGCCTAACTGTGCTATTATATTATATTTTATTTTACTTACTTGCACTTTTATCCGTTATATTGTGTAGCACTGTTGGAGGAGCCTGTGACCTAAGAATTTAATTGTTATAACTACACTGTAGCTATGTACACATGACAATAAAAGCCTTGAAAGCCTTGAAAGTGATTTGGTAAGATGGACACAATTCATGTAACCTGAATGTTTGCATAGTATTTACTGTACGGGAGTTGAAGATACAGAAGTGGTGTCTTAAAGGTCCCATGTCATGCTTTTCCGGTTATTACCCGTCCCCTTGTGTGTTATGAAGCTTTTTATGCATGTAAACGGTCTGCAGAGTCACAAACCCTCAAAGTACACCCTGTAGCGAGTAAAACTCTAACACAGAAAATACCTGTCTATGCTGCCCCAGAACAGAATTTCTCTTTTTCCATTGTTTACTTCTTGGGTATAGTGACGTATTTCGGGTATAGTGACGTAACGTTTGGACCTATCCGCGGACTTCCTCACACACACACACACACACTCGGCGGGACGTTGCGAGGCTCACTGCTGCGAGGAGCGGGACAGTGTGAGCTGGCTCACTGGTGTGGGGTCGGCGAGACAGCGAGACACCTCGGAACTCAGCCTGGGCACACACACAAACTCCCAGCCAGGCTGCAGGTGTGTGTTTGTGTTTCGGGCTGGGTTTCGCTGTGTCTCGCTGTCTCGCAGGCGGCCACTGGGCTCACAGGGAGTGGGGGGCAGGAGCTCCAACAAGCCGATTAGGACAGAGAGTGAATACACATACTATACAGAGATGCTGTATGAGAAACCAATGTGAGTTTGGAAAATTGCACAATATAAATCTATTTTAGTAGACCTCAACAATGGAATTATGATCAGTAGAAATGGCCATGTCATGGGACCTTTAACTTTGATTATTTGTCTTACATAAGTAAGTACAGGACCCATTTGTGATGATTTGTCGTATACAATTATTTAGCCTAAACATCTTTAAGAAGGATTTCCAAATGAGGAAAGAAAGTCAAATCTAAATCCCAAAGGCATGTCTCAATGCCAGTGAAAGTCCGATGTGAAGCTGGTGCAGGTTGACTCACATTGTAAGCATCAATAATGAGTTTGATCACGTTGCTGGAGTTGGAGGACAGCGTGCCGACAGCGGATTTAGGAATGAGATTCTTCAGCTCCTGATTGAGACACAAGGTAAGAACAGAATTAAAAACATGTTCAATGGAAGAGGGTAGGTTTAACGGTTTGCACTGAGAACAACGTTTACCTTGTAGACAGGCTGGAACTCCTCAGTGACGGCGAAGATGGTCTGGATGTTGTGATCGCTCAGCTTCTGGACCAAATGGGCGATGGAGGGGTAGTCCTGTCAAAGATAAACACACACATTAATTAAAGCAGAATTCAGCACCATGGAGAAGCAGCGTTCAGTTATTATGCTCCATAAATCTGTGACAGGATAACTACTTAATTAAATAACTTTTCTTATATTAAACTACAATGTAACTTGTATTCTTGTATTGCATACCCGTCTTATTCTATTTTAGCTGGTTTAATTTGTGTTCTCTTGGCATTTTAATGAATGTTTTTTAATCTATTCAAAATGCACCTGGACATGTTGTTCGTTTTGCACTTTGTCTTATTGCTTTTTAATGTTTTTTGTAATTGCATGTTGTTGAAATGTGCTACAAAAATAAACTTGCCTTGCGTTAATATTATACTGCGTGGACAAGTATGTGTCATGTGAGAAACAACTTTTAAAATCAAGAAGAGGCAATCAGTGAAATCTAAAAACTGCCCACATGCTCAGGTTACTCTCCCTGGATAAACTCTGCATATTAAATAAATGACGTACATAGTAGTGGCTCATGGTGTACATGTTGTTCTCCAGGTGACACTTTCCGTCGTTGGGCAGGACGATGCCGCCCAGTTTTCCGTCTCCAGCGAAGTGGAACCCAGCGTCGGTGGAGAACACCAGCAGGCGGGTCACGTTCCTCCAGCCGATCTGATTCTGGGAAGACAAACACAGAGAGAGATCTCGTATTAATATTTTAAAATTAAACCTATTATAGTGTTCTTCATCAATATATTACAGGTCTCAGATATATACAAAACATGTCTCTGAAGTGTTTGGCTCCAAACAGATCATTGCAGCATCCCAGAATCCCCTCTGTTTCAGCCCTGTTTCCAAAGTGCTGATTCTCTGTCTGTTACTTTAGATGAAAATAAGGAGCCCCTCCCCACGCCCCTCAGAGAGAGATTTGGTTACAAAGAACACAATGGTGCTCTAGGAGGAGATTCAGGTGATAAGGAGGGGGGGGGGTGTCACCTTGGTTGGTGATTGGCTAATGGTTACACAATCCAAAAAAACGTTATGACATCATAAAGTGGCCAAAATCTGATCAGCTCATTTTCAGACAGGTTTTTGTATAAATGGATCAGGACAAAAAGAGAGAGAATCTTTTTTCCTGAAACTTTCAGAATCTCTTTTCACAGAGGGGACACGTGTTGATGTAGAAAAGACATGAAAAAGTGGATTTTGCATAATAGGTGACCTTTAGCAGGACACTTTTGTCTAGATACAGAGCAGTAGGTCTAAATATCTCCCTCCTTACCTCACAGACGGCCACCTGCATGATGGCGTCGAAGCCGCCCTCCGGAGAGTCCAGGTTTCCTGAGATCTGCTGCTGACTGACCAGGTTGTTGAACTCGTCTCCTTTGTCCGTCAGCTTCAGGACGTTCTTGTAGCTGAAGGGGCTGGTGCAGTTCTGGTTCCCCGTGCAGGGGTTGATGAGCCGGGCAGGCGTGGTGCTAATGTAAGGCATCACCGTCTTCTCCACAAACGAGCCGAAACCTAAAAAAGGAGAAGAATCTTTGTATCAGTACAGAGTTTAGAGATACAAAGTCAAAAGTGAAATGCTGCTTTGAACGAAACCTAATGCACAGGTTAGAAAACTGTCAAAATAACTAGAATCAAGGTTCATACACTTTTTCACCAATGATTTTCAATGACTTTTTCTTTTTTTCCATGACCTTTACCTAACTTTCCATGACCAAAGAAATTACTCTTTCTCAGCGGTACCACTGAAAATGGTTTATTTTAACATGGAACAGGAAAACAAGGTCTGCATATGAAACATGTTGTGCCTATCTAAAACAAATCAAATAGTAGGCTTACTAGCTTCTTCAGGCTAAAGCAACTGTCGACTAGAGGGCGTGGTTGTAAAAATCTCTCACCAGCAAAATACCTTGTCAGTTAAATGCCATTTTACGTTTCATTACTATACGATACAGTATTTATTATCATTATAGTATTACTATTTCGGCGATTAGATAAAATATAAATGATGTTTGATGCAACTTTAGTTACATTTCCATGACTTTTCCAAAACTTTGGGAAATATATTGTTTTCCATAACTTTTCCAGGACCTGGAATTTGCATTTTGAATTTCCATGACTTTTCCAGGTTTTTAATGACGGTAGGAACCCTGTATAATTTCACGTGAAGACCAGGGGTAGAGGAATGTGAGAATTTGGTTCGGGATATTGTCAGGTTTCTGGAACAAACTCCCAGAAACCTGCAGGTCTGCTGCAACTCTCACTACTTTTAAATCCAGGCTGAAGACTTTTCTGTTTGCTTTGAATTGAACTATTCACATCTCACACTGCACTGTAACTTTTATTCATGTACCTGTGTTATTCATGTTTTATTATCTTTGCTTTTTAATGTTTCCAATGTGTTTAATGCTCTTAATGTCTTTCATTTTTGTAAAGCACTTTGAACTGCCTTGTGGTGAAAAGAGCTATATAAATAAACTTGCCTAATGCCCCACAGAAGACCCTTTTTCTTCCCTGATGTAAGTCAGATATAATGTATTAAAAATGCTTTTATTCCAGATATTATAAGGATGTCTTTATTTTGAGTTTTTCTTACCAATCCTGAAATCTGAGGTGATCCCCTGCATTTCCCTCATGAGGTCGGTGCCGAGGTTCTTCACGTTTTCCAAATCGTCCTTCATGGAGAAGGAGAGGTCCATAAGGTAATACAGGTCGATGGGGTAATCCTCCGCACGCTTGAATTTCAGATCGAAGGTCTGGGGCTCACCTGAAGGGAAAAACAAATGATAGCTTTTAAGGGAATTCAAGAGATGGTGACGACAGGTTGTTGCTGTTCATCACCATTTCCTGTTAATGCTAGACCTGACTGACATGGACAACTAAAAGTGTAAGACGAGTTTTTTTACATTCATTTTGTTATTTTTATTCATACTGTTTTTTACATGTTTATTCTTATATTACTCTAATTACACTTCAGTGAACTTTTATGTATCCTATCCTGTGTTTCACTGCTGCTATGACGATCCATAAAAAGGTCTTTACTAAAAAGTGCTACTCCTGATAATTCAAACTTCACTTTATTTAGTGATTTTCAAAACGTTTACACAGAATTAATGACTTCTGGTTTTGCTTTGAAGCTGGTCGACTTGCATTAGTATGCCCGTATAGACTGTTACGGTGCGTCCACACGCTTCCGTCGCATTGAAGCTTGCCGGTGGGCGTGTCTAGCGCGCGACCAACAACCAATCACATTAATCTCCCACCCCGGACAAACAAGCACGCGGTTTGATTGGCTAGCGCTTGTACTGGCATATGATTTGATTGGCTGGCGCTTCCGTCGACGCTTGAAAAGTTGAACTTTTCTAAACATTCGAAGCGAGCAACGGAGGCAAAGCGACGGAACCACAATGCAGTTCGGTAAAGCTTGACGTCACCCCATTCAAAGTGAATGGGAAGCATCTCTGTTGAAGCACGCGACGGAACTGTGTGGACGTACCGTTAAACTACCTACATAAATATAACAGAACACATATTTCCAGCCTGCTTTAGCAACACATTCACAGATCTGTCTCCGGGAGTTTAATATTTACCAGATCGGAGAGTGAGGGTGAGTTTCTGCGGCTGGATCTGGGTGATCTGCTCCGGCTTCAGTTTCTCTGCCACGTCCTTCTTACGGTTGGTGACCGGTTTGTCTTTGTCGATGTTGATGCCGCCACGTGGGTTCTCAATTTTGGTCACGTCACAATTTCTCTTCTTCAGGGACTCCAGATCATCGCAGCGGGCCGACTTGGACTCACCCACAGTGAGGAAGCTCTGTGGAAAAGGAGAGAGGTTTTTGTGAGTAAATGAGTTCTAGATTAATATTCTTCTACTTCTTTCACAGACAGCAGATAGCAAGATGTTCTCCAAGTATCAGGCTACACTTACACAAAACGAGTCATACAAAGGCAGTGTTATAATAACAAGACATATTTACATTTAATACACATTTACCAAGCACCACTGTATAAGCTCATTTTCGTCAGTGATGCATGAGAGGAGTCCTCTGGGAAGTTCCCGTAAATAAAGAGGAATTTGTCTTGGTGGGAAGGGCATGAAGAAACATGTTGACAACATTACAAACATGTTACAGGAACAACAGAACATGTAAAAAATATGTTGTAGGGTAAAAACAGACATAGAAACTAGAACAGTTGGTTCTGTTTTTGTGTGACATCTGGGAGTGTAATTGCTGCAGATACAATTTTATGGATCTCTGACATTAAATCAAAGAGTTTGTTTAACCAATGCCTCTGGAGTCAATCCATGTTACCCTGCTGTCTGTTTACTAGGCCATTGTTCCCTGGCAGCATGAGAAGAGGAGAAACAGATGACCGCCTGGCTAAGAATAATAGATTGGATGCACATGATATTCCTGTGGGCAGAGCCACGGAGAAACTGAGACAAAGAACTCAGTCAAAACTAAAATAGTGCTTTGAACGAGTTCTTTAAAAACCCCATGACCCACAGAAGCATTTTTCTTCCCCCTGCATTCTGCCGTTCATTATATTACATTTAGTGGACGCTATCCAGATCATCTGTAGTCGAAACACTATGAAACACTTATTGTTCTGAAGAATATTAGGGTATTATTAGGGTGTAAACAGGACAATATGTATAAAGGAGAAGTTAATATAGAGAGGTGTTAAGTATTCAAGTGTTGTTTCTCAGTGGTGTCATGTCCTCCGACTGTCCAAAGACTTAAAGGGGACCTATCATGCAAAATGCACTTTTGTACGTCTTTTATACATGAATATGTGTCCCCGGTGTTCCAGGGAACTCACCAAGTGTCAGAAAACACAACCCTCTCTATTTTCCTCCATACCCAAATCTCTAAAAAATGGGCTGCAACGGATCTGATAAAAACTGATCCAGATTTGAACACTGTCCTGACGTCAGGACGGTGGCGCTACGGCTATTGGGCCAACTCCACCAATCAGGAGGAGACAGCCACGGCCATTGCCGTTCGAAAGCGCTGGAGACGCTGTAGTACATATGCCAGGCCAGTAGGTGGTGCTGTTCTCACTGAATCAGCCCAGAGCTAGAAATTGTCAAATTGAGCGAAATGAGGCATGGCTAAAATGCATGATCTGTTTGGTATTTTGAAAAAAAAAAAAGTATAAATATGCCTTATATAGGTATGGTCCTACACTATATTATTCAAATATAGCATGATAGGTCCACTTTAACCAAATGTACTGTGTAGTCATGTTGTTGATTCACCATTTCTGGGTAGGATATAAGTCAGCATGACAGACAAATACTGGCAAGAATTATCAGGAATGCAGCAGTGTCTTAAAAAATGCAAAACTGAGAAAAATACCCCCAAACCAGAGAGATTTTGTTATCATCAATAAACTCAAAAGTACTGACTCACAAGGCTAGACTGACCTATTAAGTATCACTGTTTTGGATAAACAAGTAAACAAATGTATATCATTACTTGGTTTATGATATTAGGGGATGACAACTGAAGCTTTCAGATAATATTTTGAGGAGGTAAATCATGTGATAGGGAAACAAACAAATAGGTTGCATTTTCAATTATCAAATCTGCTGCTGCTGATACCACCGGATTAAATAGCCTTGTTACTGACCCTCAATTTCATATTGATTACTAATGTTTGATGTTATCGTTACGAAGCAGGGTCTCATACTCTCACAGTGTAACCATGATACACATCTAGTGCCCATTTACACCGACTCATGTGAACCTCATGCTCCTCAAGTAGCTTTGCAAAGATGCCTTTTTTTGCAGAAATGTGCGGCACAGCATGACATACAAAAGATTCATTCATTTGTCCTGCACTTTGTAGCCGGCCACACTGATAAATAAACTCTAGCTGTGAAGGAGTAAACATACATTTGTGGTCTGTTGACTCTGGGTACAGACAACGTCTAATTAACGAGGATTATCCAGACTAAGTTTCCGCTGTGAGACAAGAAGCAGCTCCCGTTTACGATTAATGGACGAGTCAGGGATTACTCACTTTGGGAGAACGGCAAGAGAAAGAACGAAGCATTTACTTATAGTGCAGATATATATATAAATAAATACACATTTAAATAATACAAACATGTATTTTAGGAAACAAGGACAACCTTTTCACTTACCTTCAAACCCTTGCTCCATTTTCAAAATGATAATTATGAAACACATTGTATTGAATCATAGTGTATTTGGATTGCATTAGTTTGTATGAAATAACACACTGTGACTCCGGCCTGTTGCATGCAGACATTTGGAACAGCTGCCAATGGTAAATATATTTATTGTATTATGTAAAAGGCACAAGATGATGACTCCCAGACGTTTTTGGGAAAGTTAACCATTAATCAACGCTGCCACATTTTTCAGGCTACACCCACAGTTTTTAAAAATTCTAGACAACTTAATTGTATTTTGTTCAAGACTGTTTGTGCTTCATTTAGTGAGAGAGACGGACAGGAAATGCAGGGGAACGAGGGGACGAAATGAAGCCTTGGTTGAACTTGAGCTACCGTTCATATGATAAAACACTTTGGTAGCAGATGAATTGATTGAACTCACTTCATCTCCGCACCATCCACACGACTCAGCGACCTGGATACAGTCCCCACAGGACTGAGCGTTGGCTTTGATGCATACGCTCCCCTCTGAAAGACAAAACACGGGTTCCTCTTAGCCAACAAGAATGTTTCCATTAGTTCACTAACTCAAAACAGCTTTGGTTTTCGGGCTGTAGGACACAACCTCCTCCCCATTTGGGAGCATTGAGTCATGCTGAGAGAAGCTCTAGGCCGCTCACCAAGCGATGACTTCACCTCGTTAAAAGAAGCCAACAGAACCCACAGAGCCATAAAACCATGAATGAAGAAGTACAAAATGTGTAGAGGATAAAAGCGTTGATGTACCATGATAGTTATAATAAAGAAGTAGTCTAATTTTAAATACAAAGGAGACAGTATCAAATCAAGTTTTATTTATAAAGCACATTTAAAAGCGATTTTTGGTCGAGCCAAAGTGCTGTACATGTAATAAAAACACATTACTACAATCACAATAAAAGACAATAAATTACAACAGATATATATAAAAAATAAAAAGTATTGCACTGGGGTGTCTTTTAAAAACAGCTGAAAAACATGCAAGATGTTTAGCTAATATTTAACAGTAAAGATAAGAGAAAAAGAGCAGGATTCAAACGTATCTTTGTTCTCACCTTGCTGCGCCCAGCTGCCACTGAGGACCGCCGATAACGCTGCTATTAAAAGAACCCGCAGATCCATCTGTAACAAAGAAACAATACCTCGGTGTTAAAACAAACAGTGAAGAAATGGATCAGACTTCTTTGTCACTAGTGTCAGAGACGGGGAACAATGAGGAAAAAGGGTGTTGTGAGTGTTTAAGTCACATGAACTTGATGCGGCTGCAGAGGTTTAATGTGGCACAGAGATATATTTTTAAAAAGTGCCCTAACAAATCAATGAGAAACTAGGGCTGCTCGATTATGGCAAAAATCATAATGTCGATTATTTGGGTCAATAATTGATATCACGATTATTAAAAACGATTATCCATTTACTTTGAAAAACATCCATTTATTGTTTTTAACAGTGATTACCCTGAACTTTAAGTATAATTCAACTGAAAAACCAATAAAATACAAATAATAAAAATAATAATCGTTTTATTTCTATTATGTTGTTTTCATAATCGTTGCAAGCCAAAATCGTAATTGCGATTAAAATACGATTAATTGAGCAGCCCTATGAGAAACAGAAGAAAATTGTGTTTTCTTTTGGGATAAAGCAAATTAGCTTTAAGTTAGTCTTTATGTAAGCAGTATTTACCAGACTTTGACCAGAGAAGTCTGAAGAAGTACGGCAAATCTCTCCTGTGATATTCCTGTGATTGCCCTAAGCACAATTTAAAGTGTACGCTTGAATTTCTCAGTAATAATTTAAATAAAACATAAATCTTGATTCTTGACAATGTCATTCTTTTTAAAGCTTTCTCAATTTTAAACACAGATAATATTTGATCAGAATATTTCCCATTTGTCCGGTAAATTGAAGATTACGATTTTCTTCAAACGGAAACACTGCATGTAAGTTAGCAAATGATCAAAGAAACTATTCTCCTACCAAGTGGTAAATGAACACGACAGAAGGTTATCATGGATGTGTGACTCCTAAAACATATATAGTTAGTATTTAAAATGTGAAGAAAATGTACTATGACTATAACAAGATTGTGAATATTGAAGCCTCTGCATTAAAACTCATTTGAATTCACTTTCTGTAGTTCCAGAAATATGTATTATTTAGCTTTAAGGGACACTGCAGTTGTTTTGATGATACCACCAGGGTGAATACATTTAAGTTAGATATACTTTTTGATCTCGTCTTAGTAACACCATCATGTCGTGTGTTGTTAAAGCTGTTTCCTGACATTGAGGGGAAATATCAGTTAGTGTTAAGAAGCAGAGAGGAGGAGCGACTCCTTTTGCCTTGTCCAAATATGGAGGAACGATGTGCCCACACTCGATTGGCCCACTCAGCTGCCAGTCCCATCAGCACGTCCTCAAAACCACCATCCTACATACTTTCTACTTTCTTTCATGCTGTTACAGGCCTACGTAAAAAGTAGTTGGATATCTTGACGGTGCATTTCAGATAAGACTCAACAAGATGGAGACGCTGAATGCGAGATAATCAAAGGTTGCGTAAAATAATTAAATAACTGCACTCATGTTGTTTACCAGATGTATTCATAATGAGTCTAACAGCAGATGACCACACATTTAGAAATGCCACAGAATGCAGCACGAGAAGAATAACTGTGGTTTAATGAGAAGTCCCATGATGCATTTCTTCCACACTGAGCTGAGTCAATAGGCATTTACCGAACAGCCACAACACCAAAAACAGGAATAATTCAAATCCCAAAACTGGCTAAATATTCTTTGTGTGACAGCAGCATGGAAAATGTCTAAAGTTGAGTTGGACAGCATTTATTTGGAAACTAGGGTAGTCATAAGCTTGCAGAGAATAAACGATTAGGGGTGTGTGTGTGTGTGTGTGTGTGTGTGTGTGTGTGTGTGTGTGTGTTGCCATATATGGTCAGGCTGTTCCATGCCTCTTCCTGCTATTTCCCACACTTGGGTGACACACTTCCTTCACTGTCCTTAAGCTTAGAAACTGAGACATACTTCCTGTGTACTTACCCCAGTTAGATATACATAGGAAATCAAAAAACTGTTGAAAGAGGCCAAGTCAACAGCTGTGTCCAAGAATAGACTTTCCCTGTTGGATATGAAAGGCTAATTTGAGTACTAAGGGGTCAGTGGATTTATATTTACAATGCACAACAAGAGAATTATGATTTGACGGTTAACTATGAGTAAAACTGGTGGCTGTATATTCTGTAGTTGCTCAGGAAAAAGGTGTGATGTGTGTGCTGCAGTGCTGTGGGTCATAGGGTACATGCCTCTGCAAAAACAACCACATCCTGTGAAAAGAGTGCCTAATGGCCAACTTAAATGCGAGTTTCCCCTTAAGTGCTTCAGTGATAGTTATCATACTGCTGAGACAAAAAAAACATAAAAGGAAAAGGCAGACAAAAAGATGTGAAGTGTAGTGGGGGATGGAAAAGTTTGTAAAAGTCTTTAAAAAGCAGACAAATGTGATTTTTATTTGACGTTAAGAGTGCCTTTTAACATCTGGTCAGGGGTGAAAGAAACACATTTTCTTTTGAGCCCTTTAAAAACACAAGTTACGGGAAGAATAACTTGTGGTAAGATGGACAAAATGTTCAATAAGACCCAGCAAGATGAGCCAAAAGAATTCAAGTCAGCACCAACTGCAAGGACTTTTTACACTATTAGGGCTCCTCCCCAACATTCCTGAAGTACAGCTTTGTTTACCGCTCTGCACAGAGCTGCACATTACACAGAGAGCTGACAGATGGGGGGTGTCGGGGGTCTACAATGCCTGCGTGTGAAACATAATGGCATTAGGGGAGCACTGGTATTTCTGATGTCTGAATCTTGGGACATTTGAAAAATATCTACTCTGAATTAAATATTGAAAAGGACACCTCTAGAAAATATGCCTTTTTAAAAATGTTTATCTACACTTGGTTTTATCGCCACAGCTCTCTGAATAAATAGGAGAAAAAAACAACTGATTAATACAAATGGTGTCTTTCATGAAGAATGTCACTACCTTTTTAGCTTTTAAAGAATAATACAGTATTATACTTTATTGTCGTATTAAGTCGGATAATTTGTGTCACTTTTCTGTCTTTTAATCAGTATTTTAGTTAACAAACAGACAGTAAAGACTGTATAAAATGATGTAACAATAACTAAACAATACATTACTCATTGCAGGGAGTGTTAGCTGTAATATTGCACGACCGTTGGAGGAGGAGACTTCACGGGGTCATTAGAAATGGCGGGACATAACCGTCTGCGCTGCTTCCACAAAGCTAGTCACAGCTGATAAGAGCTGATGGCAAGACACAAACCGATGAGGCATTAGAGGACTGTGGTAAAACTGAAACTCTGGTGTGTGGTGAATTCAGCAGAAAGGAAGAGGAAGGATGTTCTCTTCTGTGTTTACCACACAGTAGCATTTTTAATAAAGGTCCCTTTTGTGCCATGGATAGAGATTCGTGAATTAACTCTTTTAGCAAATGACCTACAATGACATGAAAATTATTCCGTCATCTTTTGCAATGCAACAAAGAAAAGTTATCTAAATGGATCAACACCTGAACATAAATACACGTGTCAATAATCACTACGTTAAGCAGATTAGTACTCCGGTAACATGTGACCTGCATGTGTGTGTCTGTGTGAAAATAAAAACAAAGGGTGTACCGTTTCAGCAATATTATGTGTTTGCTAGTTTCATAACTAAAATACCGATACACATACAAACAAAAATAACAATCTGAAGCGACACATTTCCCCACACCTTCCGATTTACATTAGTATCTTCATATTCTAGTACAAAGATATACTAGTATACTTCTTCTAGCATCTTCACACACACACACAATACCCCCTCCCTTGCATATATATATATATATATATTCTTTCTATATATAAACTATGTGGATAAAGCTGAAGAAAATGAGGGAAAAAACTGTCGGGAAAAGTGTGAAAATGTTTGTGTAAGTTGCTGAAACTGGAAAAATAAAACACATTTACAAATCAACACTACCAGCCGTAGAGTATCTCATTATGGTTTTGTTTGTTTATCTAAACAATGTGGCAAACAGTTGTAGCTACTGTACTTTATCTGTACCACATATCAGGTGATCCAATCAGCTGACGATGTGATCTCATGCTACTTCCCTGCTGGCAGATACTTCTACAAAGTCTCACTCTCTCCTCTTCATCCTTTCCAAACCGTATCGCTCTCTTCCTCCGTCGTCACGCAGAAACTATGGTGTATGACAGACCCGAGAGGATAATATTTAGAGTAGCAGCAGCCCACCGTGTCCAATCATGACTTTGTATGGTCAGGCTGAGGGGGACAGAGACGACACATGCTTTGTGTTTCTGACGATGAGCATTAGCGTCACCATTTTTAATTTACATTTCTACCTTTGTTAATAAAAGCCAGAGCGACGCAGCTCTCTCCAACACAACGACAGTCACTGAGAGAGTGGTTTTTCAAATATGGACATGTGGGATTTCAAAACCACGACATAATATCTAAGTAAAAGCTCACATACTCTGCTAGCTTTCTACAGATATACAAGGTTTAAGGCTGTAGTAGGCACATTTTCCTACTACATTTAGAGCTGTGAAACAACCAACCAATCACAGACCTTCATCACCAACAATGAGTTGGTGGTTATGTGCAGTAATGCCACCGTGACTTAGTTTGTTTATATCCTGTATGTTCCTGCCTGTGTACATGACATAAGCTGCTGCTCATAACCAATTGCCCCTTGCGGGATTAATAAAATTGTTGATTGATTGATTAATGTTGTCTCTTTCCTTCTGGCGAATGCATTTACTCATCACCCAGCTTTTGACACTAGCGATCAGAGGTCATTCTTGGCCCCGCACAAAATGTTTTATAAAGAATTTCATTAAACAGCTGCTGAGAGGAGCCGACTGAAACTCAATCCTCTTCAGCGCCTCCTTGTCATGGTTCCCTGCCTCTCACAGGTCAGAGGCGCTCTGATTCAATCTGCAGTCTGAGAGGACGCCTCCGAGACCAGAGACACGCTCCCTCTGATTTAAATTCACAGAAAGAGTTCCTCG